AGGTGATTACAGATATAAATATTATTTAATATAATACAAACCGATTTATTTTTAACATGTAATGAAATACAACAAAAATCATGGAATTTGACGGCGACAATACTGTTTGCGTCGATACGGTCACATATGCTTATATTATAAGCTTATAATATTATTAACTTCGCCGATAGAATCCCGAAACGAGTACGACACGGTCACGGCATTGTTATGTCATTGCTATTTGTAAATAGATCTTTAATATTATCTCATTGACAGCGCTGGCACAAGGGGTGAGCAGAAAGTGCAATCGGAGAGGGCCTCACGCTTCTATTTTGAAGTATATTCAGATCCGGGGCTTCGATAATCATATTGCCGCACTGATCATTGATTATGTATACAGTAGAAGCCACTTATCAGGAACATTTTTAGATCAAATTGAAATACGTCAATTCACTGATTGTTTCTAATATACGGATGGTTATATTTATAATAATAAAAATTTATAATTCGAAAAAAAGTATTAAATTGGAAGTTGACACGCCGTATGCGTGTTCTCTTTAAAGTTTAATAGTTGAATATAATCGAGTCTGTGATAAAAGACTGTTGATAAAAATTACGAAAGTCAGTTGAAAAAACAACGTCTTCAAAAGGAATAAGAAAACGATTCGGGTCAAAATAATATTATTCAAGAACAAGATCTACCGAAGTTACTGAAGAACCTTTTATTAATAAATCATATTTATTAGATGGACAATTTTTATAAATAAACGTATAATACAATAAACATTAGTACACCTACACAATCTCAAGACTATGGTTTAACTGATGATAATATAAGAACTTCAAATGTTACTAGCAGTGGAGTATCCAATATTCATTTTAACGGGGGTGTTTTAAAATTTAATCATCTAATGGTAATTGGGGGGTTCCCCCCCGCATTACATTTATAAATACCATATATTTATATAAATGATTATATTAATGTAAATTATTAAATTAAGACAGTATATGTAAAATCTATAAATTGTATACAACGTTTGTAAGTTTATAATTTGGTGAAACTTAACCTTAACCTAACCTTATCTAACCATAATATACGGTCGATGGGGGGTGTTCTAACACTCACATCACCCTCCCCCCTAAATACGCAATACGCCCTTGGCTACTAGCAATGGCGTATATAGGTTTTCATTTCGGAGGGGGCCGATTATGTATTTGATTTTTGAGTGGAAAGGAAGGAGGAAGCACACTATTACAAAAAAAATTACTTTAACACTATAAGACTTCTTGACAGTCTTTACACCATCAGAAAAATAAGAAACTCAATTTTTTTTAATGATTTATTATTTTTTAAAAGTATAAAAACTATATTGTAATAAACAATTTTTTTATTAGAGTCATTCAAAATTCACCACATATTTTCTTAAAAGAATAAACATATTTTATAAATATAAAATTTTAAATTATCGCATAAGCAAGATTCTCAGTGTCGCGACAAATTTTCGGAAACCCCCAGCATTAAGACATATCCATGTTAAAAATAACAATCTTTAACAATGGTGTTTTTCATTTTGGAGGGGGCCCGGGCCCCCTTGGCCCCCCCATAAATACGCCCCTGGCTACTAGTGTTAGTAAAACATTGTCAAACAAGTATTTTTAAAGTAAAATATAACATGAAATAAGAAATTAGTGCAACAAATCAATATGAAAAAATATTATCCGATGATTTATCTAAATAAAAAATGTTTTTTCTATTTTTATTTAGATAAATAAGTTATCTTTATATTTATCTTTATCTAGATAAAATTATATTTATCTGGGCTCAACACTGATTAGCAAATAGAAACGAATAAGTTAGGTCTTCAATGGATGGTGATTTTCGGAAATCTGAGCCTAACTAATAAATAACGTAATTGTAAATTTATCGAATTACTATTTTTACTTTAAATAAAAAGAGAAATTAATTAAGTAAACAAAAAAATTGTTTCACTATTCACTACGAAAAATTAAAAAATTAAATTTTCAATATTTGGTTATGAAATTACTCTTTTGAATAATAATGATTTTACGGGAACAAAGATTAAAACATTTCAATTTATGCTTCATTTGTGAGATGACCCCGGATACGGGTCCAGTTGTCACTCCCTTACGTTTGCCTTGCACGCACGTTATATTATTATTATTAATTAATATAAAATTGACGTTATTTATTACAATAAACCGTTGCACAACATTTTTAAACCTTTAAAATATACAATTTGTCGTCGCTGCGATGTGGAATCATTTATCGCATGTATTAAAACTTATAATATTGTAGGCATACCCATTAATCATTAATGTAATATTCGACTGCCGCGTGACATTCAAATAATCATTATGTTATATTGTCGTTTATATTATAGCTATTATAGTATCGTATTCAATACGTATATACATACATGTTTATTGTACACGATGATTTGGACGTAGGACGAATGTCGTCGTTCTCGTTTGTCTACTAGTTACATTAAACGAACTCGTTTGTAATCTTATGGTGCATGCCATGAACTTGGTTTTCGTAAAGCTATTATGACTACGTTTAGTAGTAGGTACATAGTATACACGGTAAGTATCTATATATAATATGTACACGCTTATTTAAAATGTACATTCAATAGCTACCAATAATAATAATTTACAACCAGAAAAAAAAGATGACGATTTATTCATGAAACAGTGTAAATCAAAAAGTCCTTTAAAAGCGAAACAACGATATAAATATATTATGTTATTGTGTTTCTCATTGAATTCAAATATATTGTTAATTTATTTGAATTAACGATTTTCACTTGACGTTTTACGACTACTATAATTTTTTTTTACTAATATTTCAAACTGATATTGCGATAAATATATTGTAAGGATGTGTAATGACATGTTATATTTAATAGAAATCTTTTAAAATATAGTATAAAAGCCGAATTCATAACTGAATTATAATTAAGTATAATGTATAACTATATGTTTTTAGTGTTTCGAGAAATATTATCGTGTTTTGTAGAACTTCATGCAGTATAATATAGGCAATATAAATTATAATATAATTATGTATATATTTATATAATAATAAATTCTCTAAACAGAAGATCTAAATTAATTTTAATACACGAAAGCATTGGTCCAAGTAATATTTCATACTCCTAAATCGGTGCCGATGGTTTTCGAGGCCCACAGCAGAATTATGCGGGGGCTCATATATATTAATAAATAAATTATTTATGTAAATTATTTTATTGTATAACTAAATATATTCTATAACTGTATTTTGAACCGTAATCGATCGTCATCGACGATAAACAATTTTACTAATACATGCGTGTATAATAGTGTAAGTACAGCTATGTATAATTGGTACTGTCTTAATTTTCGTCGAAAACAATCCGTTTCCTAAGAAAATCATACGAACACATGGGTCGTAATTTTCGTGCTACTGTGACTATATTAATTTTATTTGCGGATAAAGAGATGTTTGTAATCATAATTTGTGGGGCCACGTGGGTCCCGGTGCGGTCACACCACTTGCCTCTCCCTAGAGATGGCACTGCTAGTCACACATGGAGCGTTTCGTGGTCACATTTTCGCATTTCTGAAACGTTGCGTTTTTTTGTCCAAAATTAAATACACGCGTTTTAATACGTATATTCACTCGATAAGCATAAACGCGCTTTCGACTGCGTTCGAACGCTACAAGACGCAACGGTTCAATTTTATAGCGTCCGTGCGTTATTAAACGCTAAAATTAAACATGGGTATTGCAATATAACTATACACACATTGCGTGGACGATTTTTAAAATTGTGATGACGAAACAAAAAGAAATAGAAGCAATAACATATATATATATATATATCCTATATCATGTACTAATTACAATGTTTTGTGCATATTGATGTACATTATTTTTATAAATGCATGATATATTAGTATCATTCAATTTTATTTAATAATTAATATATTGTCTTTTTTCAATCATTCAGGTTTTATTTATCTAATTTATTTTTACTTTTCGTAAATAACTTATATTTTATATTGTTCACTTATTTTTTTAGCTAATACATAAGTATTGAAACTAATGATTATATAAACTTTAAATTAAAAAAAAATCTCTAATTATTAAAATGCGAGTAGGTAGACGAAAATAAACGGATGGTATCCTAGAACTTTTTTTCAGTTGTATTTATATGTAGCACCCGGATTTTTGATAGTCAAGTACTGATTGTCCTGTTCTCCGGTCTTTCCGATTTCTCGATTATATTATGTATTATAATAATTATAAACAAAAGTAGAGACAGAAAACAAAATTGCTCTATGATCTAAACAATGGTCTCATTGTTAATCATGTGTATACATTGTGCGAGACTTGTAAAACCAAGGCGTTTAGAAATAAGATGTAGGTATATAAAATAGGTATATATGCGCGTACGTTTCCCGTTGACTTTCTCGTACAAACATTTTATAAAATGTCATCGCAGCGTAATGAGAACGCCATGCCTTATTATATTACTATAATCATGCATGTATATCATTTAAATAATTTAATGGTGAAAAACATTATGTACGTGTTTATCGTGTCCCAAAACTGTAAAATGTGAAGTACAGTAGTTTAACGATTCCGTTACACGACTCTCAATAATACGTATACATAAACAATCCATTTACTATTATAAATTGACTAGTAAAAATGTAAGATGCATATATGTTCAGTATTACTGAATCATCCACAACATACAATATCCATTTATAAGAATCTATGGCCAGCGTACCATATTATGTATGAAAATAAGTATAATTGTGTCTTCAACGCCTTGAAATGAACAGTGTTAATCGAGAAGCATCGCGCTGTATACGAGAATGTAATACATAATATACGATTAATATTGTATCGTTTGGAATAAAAGCAAACGACAACGATAACCAAACGGTCTTAGGTATGCGGGGGATGAGGGGATGACATTAATTTAAATATACTGATCACGGCTTACCGGAAGAAGGACGATCCGAGTATCTGGTGCAGTACACCCAGGCCGGCCATTGTTGAGATCCGCCGCCGTCCTTGTCGGCGACCGCGGAAATGGCCGCGTCCACGGAAGTTCCACTGGCGGTAGCGGTGCCAGTAGTGGTTGTTGAGGAGAAGGTAGTGGAATTTGTGGCGGTCGCAGCGGGGTTGATGCAGGTCTGCGAGTCAGAACAGGATAAATCGATGGGCGAACTCGGCGGTTCGACGGTGGATGACGACGATGACCGTCTACTGCTGACCGACTTGTGGTCCGACGATGACGAAGCCGCCGCTGTTGCAGCCGTAGCCCACTCGTTGGCCGTCACCGTGGCCGCAACAGCTACCGCGTTGTGACTGAGTTGGCTGAGTTGGTGCAGCTGATAGTTAAGGTGCTGTAGACGGTCGATGTTGTGTAGGTGCTGTTGCTGTTGGAAATGATGATGATGATGATGTTGATGTTGATGGTGGTAGCGGTGGTTGTAGCGGTTGAAGACTGCAGCAGTCGGCGGGCTGCAACCGGATGTACTTCCGCCGCCGAACTCCGGTCGCAGTATGTTATCTATGCTAAACTTCAACGGTCGTTCGGCCGAGCCGTTTAACCGGCCGCCGGAAATGGGTGACACCCGGTCGTTGCTGCACTCAGTCGAACCGTTGTCGCGGCCCGACTTCCCAATCGATTGGTCACTGCCACTGTTCCGGCGATGAAGTTCAATTGCCATCACCGCTGTTTCGCCGCAAATGCTTTGCTGCAAACAGTTGGCCATCATAGTGCACCCCGCTATGCGATCTACTGCACACAACGTTTTTCTTACTGTCCACCGGAACGGCCTGAATGAATATCGTACGGCGCTAAATACGTAGCGACACACCAATCGTCTGCTTATCTTCCTTCGGTCATCGAGCGCGGCAACAAATGCAACGGTGAGTCGAATGCACCATTGCCATGCGTCCGTCGTGTTTGATCGACGAACCACTGCGTCGTTGTTTCAGCTATTAGAAAAAATAAATAAATAAATAAATACTTAAATAACAATGAAATATTTTAATGGTAAGTACAAAACAATCGTGATAATTAGTTTGAATTGTAAACGTGTGTTCGTTTATATACGAGTATGATTGTACATTGAAAACTGGTTCGAATTTCAAGTATTCAAAGTTAAGACAAAAATTACTAGATTATTATTTTATTAAAATAAATACAAAAAACTTAATTTAAATATTAAATTTTACGTTAGCTTGTGTTATATGTATGCTAGTGGTATTAAACAACATTTTTAATTTACATTTTATAGTTTAATATTATCTAAAATATACACTATTACAATATCAATATAACACCTAAATACCATGAAGTATTGTATAACATAGGTACATTGAAGTAGTATTTTTAAAAAATAATTTAATTTTTGCGTTAAACAAACGAACAGTAACAAAGATATACAAATTAATACAACTAATCGCATTTTAGAACTTGGGTATTATAAATCACACACGTACGAGTATAAGTAGAAAATGTATTCAATGGGTACACATAACAGCTGTTGTCGTCATATTGGGAACGTACGAATGGTGGGAGAAAACTGATATTGTGTTAGCTATAAGACAGTCTCATTCGATCTTGCGGAAATATACTGCGGAACGGAGTTCAGTTCTGAAACAGTGGACTGGCAACTGCGACTACGTCGGTATGTCCATTGCTTCGTCGTAAAATGTACCATCCGAGAGGTTATCATATACGTAGATAATCCGTGCCGGATTAAACATTTGTGGACCCCTAAGCGATTAAAATGTTGAGTCTTACAAAATTATTTTTTACACACAGAAAAAAATAATTTGGTTATTGTAAATGGTTATATTTGTTTCGGTTGGCCAAACTATATGGACGATTACGTTTACTAAAACACTTAGTTAACAGTACCAAAAGTCTTTTGTTGGTCTAAATAATATGTATTTTATAGTGAACCGGTATTCACAACCACAGTGTACGGTTAATATTGTTTTTAACTGGTATTTCAATAGGCCTGTCTACCTTTTACATATTTGTAAGAACAATACTACTAATAATAAAATATTATATGGATATTTAAAAATAGATTTATATCAAAAAAATCACCTAGGCCGCACAACGACCGATTTATGGAGCCGTGCGTGCGTGCCGTGTCGCAGCATTCTCTTGCAAGTCGTAGTACTATCGTATACTGATTGTACAGACTTCATTTGCAAGGCGTCTCTGTTTATTTTAATTTTTAATAATGGACAATTATGTTTTAAAAAACCTAAACGAACTGAAGATTCCAGAAAATATTGTACAATAATTTATAAGTAATATCCTAAAATTAATAATTTATATTTATATGGATTATTCTTAAACCAGTTATTTTTTATTCGCTTCACAGCCGCGCGTACGATACGATTAAGGTGCCTTGTTCGCACAAACCATCACGGCGTACCTACTATCTAAACTCCTAACTAATTTTATGTCTTTACCTAATATTATATTATGTTATGGCTTGGTACATACAGTTGTATATTATAATTTCTATTCTAGTATTCTGCTTAATTATTTGTATAATTAATTTAATACCTACCTAATGTAAGTTCTAAAACATTTTTAGTATAGCATTCATATTTTGACTTATCATTGAAAGAAATAGGTTAGTAATATTTTTAGTTTTAAAGTTAACAAATTTATGTTTTATAACTGCATTTCTACTATGATAGTATCATATTTTTATGTTAAGATAAAGGAGTAGATGAAGAAGCTTTCTTAAGTTTAAGTGAATCTATGGTACGTGAGCTTTGTCTTCCTGTTGAACATCGTTCCAAAATTTTAAAGAGGATTAATGATTTGAAATCAATGTTATCATCTAATGCTCAAGTAATTATAATTGTTTTTATGTTTTCATGAGTTATATTATTTTACATATATATCTTGTAATTTTTAAAATATTAATTTATATACAATATTATTATATTTATATTGTAGCTTTTATTTATGTTTGATTAATATATAAAATGCATTTTAAATTGTTTTTTATTTGTATAAAAATGTACCTAATAAAAAATTTTATTTACTATATTCTGTATCAATTTATTTATTCATATATATATATGCCTACCTATATGTCTTTGTCATTATCTAAAGCTTATTACAAACAATATGATAGTTATTACCATTACCTTATAATGTAGTTGGAAATACTATGTATAACCATATATTAACAATGAGATTTAAGTTGGGACAACAATAGTGAATGGTTGATGGAACTATGTTGGCTTGCAGAATTCCAACCATCAATTTAGGTTACATTACCTTATCATAACAACAAAATGTGTTTGGTACTGTGAACTATGTTGTATAGTAGTCCCTATACCTACCATTTAAAATGGTAACTATAACCACATTGTTTTTTCCGTGCATACATCTTTAACATAACTAACCGATAATTGAAATAAATAGCTTTAACCGACCATTATTAAGAAATAATATCGTGTTTGTTAAATTTTTTTTATTTGCAAAAAAAAATTAATTAATTATTATATTATTTCTATTTTTTTCAAAATAATTGTATTATTATTACTGCATATAACACCTATAACTTAATATATTATTTCATAATGACTTTTATCCCGTAAATCCATAAATAGAATACGGGTTAAAAAAAAACAGACTATAGTTTTCCGTTTTCACAGGGCCTCTTAAATTAGTAAGGACCTAAGGCGGGCACCTACTCCGCCTAATGGATAATCCGGTACTGCGTAGACATATCATTGAAAGTATCATAAACTATAGTAAATACATAATACGTATATATTTTTTTCGAATAAATTTTTTTTTTTACAAAACATCTCATGTTATTAAAACCAAAATCATAATAATTATTTTATATAATAAATTACATTAGTAGATATAACAAAACATTTATAATTAATTTTATTACACTTAATTTTTCAGTTTTTTTAAATTAAATTATTTTAGTTTTCATTTTTTTTTTTTTTTTTTTTAATATTCATAAAATTGAATTTATATTAACTTAATGCGATGGTTGGTATTATACCTCAGACACAAGTTTTTGAACATCGTATAAAAATAAAATCTATCTATTATATAATAAAAACTATGTGGAAAAAAAAATTAAAAATAATAATCCAATAATATTGCAATAATGCTCTCGTGTCACGTATTGACGTATGTTAGGGCCAGTGGCGTAACCAGGATTAATTTAACGGGGATGTTTTAAAATTGAATAGACTTATGGTAAATGGGAGGTCTTACCCCCCTCCTATATTACATAAATAAATACCATGTATTTATATAAATTATTATACTAATGAAAATGATTATATTAAGATAGTGTATGTAAAATCGACAAGTTGTATACAACGTTTATTCAAATTATACTGTAAGTTTGTAATTTAATGAAATACCACAGAATATGGTCGATGGGGGGTGTTTTAACACCCATATCACACCCCCCTAAATATGCCCTTAGTTAGGGCTGCCACGGACCCCCGACATAAGTATCGATGACGCCTAGAGGGCTACGGACTACAGGTTAAGAACCGTTGATTTTAAGTATAAATGTTTTTTCGTTCAAGTGTCAAACCCGGAGACCCTAGAACCTAACTAGAAGGTGTTTAAAGTGAACATGATGCCAAGACCTATTGGTTGACTGTCACCAAATCTCACCCCAAAGTCCCAACAACGATTGGCTTCTTCGATCACGACTACTGTCTTGATGATTACTTATTTGTAAATTATGTTAACTACTTTTCTCACTTGTACTTATTATAAAAATATTTTCACAGATTGTACAGCAAAAAAAAAATAAAGAAAAGTGTCAAATTGTAAAACAATTGTTTTATTACTATGCCACGAAATTTGTAAACAATGTATAATTTATATTATTATATTTATTTACTTATGTCATTCAAACCATTATAATATATTATATTTATTTGTGTATATAATAGTATAATATATAAATGAGCCAGGTGCGTATACAAGGGGAGTATGTGTGCCAGATCCCCCCCAAAGGTTTTTTTAAAATTGTATAAAATAGTGTTCTATATGTAAGAAAATTATAAGGAAACAAAAAAATATTGCAAGGATTTATTGTAAATTATTATTTTGAATTATATATTTTATTATTTATTATTGAAATGTGCAGGTACTTAGGCTTAGGAATTTTCCTTCCATAATAATTTTTTTGCAACTGATCCCCCCTCCCACAGAAAATGTATGTATAAGCTACTGGAATGAGCTATAGCTATACTTAATTTTCTTGTTAATTTTTAAATTACCTAACTAATTTTTAGAACATAAGGTATGTATGTATATGAGGTATATAAAAAATATATCTAATTTATATTAAATAAACATACAATACTTATGTTATTTAAGTATTTAGAACTTGTTTGGAACGTTTGGAACATTAATAAGCAGTTTTATCAATGTTTTTTTATCTGTTTAGATAAAACATATATTTGATGTTTATTGAAACTTAGTTTTAACATAATTTTAGCATGAAATTGACGTTTACAATTTTGTTATATATATATTTATATAAATATAACATTATATGCAAATTAATTTTCGCGGACGTTTGTAGTTCATATTATTTTATATGTATATAATTTGTACAATAATTTATAACGTTTTAAGTAAACTTCAAAGTTTATAAAACGTAAATATTAAAAATTATAATTGTATTAAAAATATTATATTGAAAATTATTAACTTAAGTTGATTTGTATGATTTTAATAATTTTTATAACATTTTATTTTTATGCTAAGTTGTTATAATGATTATGTCATGCGAGCGGGCCCGTATTTAAAAATTTGGCACCTCCGGGCATATAATTTATGCCCTCCCCCCCTCAAAAAATAAATAATAATAATATAACATTTATTATTTCGTCCATAATAACTTATAAATGAAAACCATTTAATAATTTTTTTAATTAAAAAATTATAATATGAAAAAATA